GAGGCTTGCCTCTAACCCAGGGTGACTTGCTCTGCATTAGCCAAGGAGGCTAATGTGTTTTCCCGGAGGGCTACACGGCTTGCAGATTTGGTTGCGTTAACATAAAATGAAACTCATGAAATATTTACTACAGCTGTTGAGAGTTGCCTATAATGCTCTTGGCTTCATGACTATGCAATCAAATGTTTTTCCATCCAAGGAAAGCGAAGGTAAGATCTTCACAGAGGTACCGATAATCCTCAGACAAGAAGACTTGTTGACAGAATCACTCATTTTGTGTACATCAACAGTATTTGTTGGTAGCGTCATTTGGTAAAGATGAAGTGAGGCTTGTCACTTTGCACCATGGCAGGAACCCTGACGAGCGTCTTGTCATTTGTCTGTGACATCCGCGGTTACTCATTGGAACTACAGCGCCTGAGATGATCAAGGACAATAAGAAGACGAGCAGATACTCAGGACATTGAGGTGAGGACCAGATTTGGGGACATATGTGACATAAATCCATCAGTATCTGGCACTGTCATAAGTACTGTAATGCTTCCTTTTTAAATCACATAAATATCATCTTTTTTTGCATCAGTTCATCAGCTTTAGCATTTTCCAAAGAAACTTGATTTTTTTCCCATATGCAGATGGGTGCTTCGCAGGAGCAATTTAAACTGAACTGTGAGACTCCTCAGCCTTCAAGGACGGTCTTCGGTGCAGGAGGCCACTCCCCGAAGCCCTGTTATAACTGCTGCAGCAGCTGGTAGCAAGCTAAAGTGACTGGGAAATATGTAAATGGAGCCCCGACCTCAAACTGCAGTCTAAAAAGGTCAAGATGGTCTTCCCCAGAGGGGGACTTTACTCGTGCTATAAAGAGGGCGTGATCGATAATGTCTTCAACAAAAATCAACATCTCCCATAATGTAATTGCAGAAAAATGGAATATAATAATGCAAAGGAGAATTACAAACAGCAATTTGTCTGAGATCAATGCATTGATTTGCCAGCAGCTCATCTACAGATCTCTTCACTGGACTCTCTCTCTCACTCCATGATTGACAGCCCTTCTGCACACCCACCCTTGATCACCTATGCTACATTCTGGAGCTCCAGAATGCTTCAGGGACACCAGATACTGTAAATGCCCTGACCCCCCGACCCCAAGCTCTGCTCTCATTTATATACAGTACTGTGTGTGTGTGTGTCTCAAGGGGAGCATGATGGGATATGTGAAAAGAAGCAATCCAATGTACCTATACAAATGGCAATTAAAGGCATAATTTTATTTAATTTTATTTTTATACACTTTAGATCCTCGATACCAATCTGACTGTGAATTTCCTGCCTCTCGTTAACAGCTACCTGAAGAGGCACTGGCAGGGAGATGCTCATGATGACGTGACCTAACATCTGACAGCTTCTTCACAGTGATGATGGCCTTGCCATTGTATGCCTGGAGCTGAGTGTCTGATCTGAGGGTGAGAAGGAGAGGTTCCAGCAGCCAAGCCCTACAAGGTCAGCATGGGGGTGGTGGAAGTCTCTACGGAGATGGTGCTCCATCCAGCTCAGCTCTCAGGTGCCACCAGATAGGAAGGTCCTGGATGTACCATCTTTCTTATTCGTTACTCTTCCCTCATCAGAGGAATCTGCACAAACACCAAAGGTGTGTATGATGTATTAAGACTGTAGAGATGCATTCAGTGATTTGATTGACAAAATAATTGGGCAACAGCTACCCTCAATTCTTGTAGTATAATGCATTGAGGGATTACCTCCTGCATGGTGATGTAATGACAGTGTGGCCTTCCCCCCCCCCCCCCACACACACACACACACACACACACTGCAGAGTGACATCATCTCTGATGTTGTGACCTTGTACTTTGGTGCTAATGTTTTTACCCATAAGGTTGCAGTATGCCCTCACCCTGGTGATCTCCACCCAGACCAAGCCAGATGTTCACTCACCTTCTACCCTCTGCGAACTCAAACTTTATGTAATGTAGCACACGAACCAAGTCATTCTTTATGGCCTCTTTGGGCAAGACAGGGGCAGTGATGATGTGTCACATGATTAACAGCTGCAGACTAAAATATATGACCCCCTGTAAACTGGGCTAATGCTTTCTAATGCTTTTTTTCTTTTTGGTGATGTTGCTGAGCCTCTTGTTTTATAGGGTGATGTTCCTGTCGGTGCCATGCCCCAAGCTGATGTTGGAGACACGTCGACAGGAACCCCCAAGGGGGAAGGGGGTCAGGAAAAGTCAGCCATATTTATGAGGAGGAAGAAAGTATCTATTAAAACTATTATCCTAGGTGAAACTAAATTAAATGCCAAACTAATGCTAATTTTGTTGTTTCTAAAAAGGAAAGATAACAATTAAAAACCAAAATTTTAAAAGAATTCACATTTTAACAGAGGTGGATAATTCAGGTCCAGAACCAAAAATCCAGGCTAAAATTCTGTGCTTCTGACACTTCAAATATAACTGGTTGGTGAAGAAAATCTTGGTCTGGATTTGTACTTTCTAAACCTGAACTATCTAACTACCTCTGCCTATTAATGGAACAGTTCTGCAATACCTTCTGCTCTGGGTTACGAGGGTCTATATATGATCCTTACTGACTAAGCTACAGAAAACACATCTAAGTGTGTCCATTTGTTACATAGTGGCACCTAAGTTATATAAGAGCATCTTGTTTTTGTGCACTATGACTTGCAATTCCTGACATGTGAAACAGAGCCGCTCTGCGGGGCACGGAACACCTTCGGCGTGAGATGCTGCGGTGAATTACAGAGGCAGTGTTTGCTGTAGGTGATTCAGGTTCCCTCTTTGTAAAGGTGAGACGTTGGCACGCGATCCCGTCGCTGAAGCGTGATGCCAAACCTGTGTCTACTGCTCATGCTGCCCCCTTCTGTCCATGTGAAAGAAATGCTCCTGTGGTGAGAACCCCAGTAGACACCCAGCACCAGGCCCTCTTCCCTAGGCAGTGTGACAGAGCTGCCTATTCCATTTGGCCGGCGTCTCCCTTTCAGTTCGCTAATATAAATATGTCTGTGGAAACCCCTTTGCATTCTGTATGAACCTGAAGATGGAACAAATTTGTAACAAACTTTTAGAATTTGTTGTATTTCTGAATATATTGCACAAGGCAGATAAACCTCATTGTTTGGCCGATTCAGCCAGGTAAAGGTGACTGAGTGACAGACAGACTGACTTCTTCCCACTCAGTCCAGTGATTTGGACCATGAGGGTAATGGAGGTTCTCCAGGAGCCATGGTATGGATTGCAAGCCAGGGGAAACTCCACTGTAAAGTCTGGGCACTGGGTCTCAGGTCATACTGCACCTGGCAAGGAGAGAAGGAATATGTAGACCACTGTCTGGTTTTATGATGTAGTGAAGTGTATCACCAACCTGCTGCGCTGTGAAATGAAGCAGGACTTCATCCTCTTGGAGGAGCTCTCGGGTCATGACCAGCCTGATGGTGAAGGGCTGCTTCCACTATGTGTGCTGCAGTTTGTCGCTGAGCTCCTTCTGCTAGTCCAGAAGTTTTGAACCTCCAAACTCAACACACACACTTACACGGAACCACCCCTGCCCAACTTGGCACTCTTTCACACTGAAATTCATTTCTCTAAAATTATTAATACTATTAATGCTAACAGTGTTACATTATTAATCAATTCTTCAGTGAATAATGGTTCAGCGAGGAGAAAAAATTGTGTTTGAAATGGATGAAAAATTCTGCATCTTAAATTATCTGTCACAGTGTGTAATTTGAAATGTGTACGTAGAACAGTAAAGTGTTTAAAATGTCATAAATTAATACACGTTCTCCAGTCATCGTTGGAGTGATGTGTGACTGGATCTACAAAACAAATGATTGAGAATAGTGTTTATGTGATATGACCTGAAACATCATGTTCTGCAGAGTTATCCTACAGAGAGTGGAAGCAACACAATCAATGGAAAGGATTTGGGGTAATTAGAAAATTCCCTCCTAGAAACTTCAGCACCATTTAAATGTAAATTTCATGTCAGGTGTTACGTGCCGCTGTAAGATCAGGTCCGTCCACAGCAATTCTCCACCCAGTGAGGTAATGACCTATGTAATGTAGCCTAGACTCACATACCTCATTCTCTGTGAGCAGCTGAAACTATATCTTATTGCACAAAAACATCAACACAAACTTTCCCCTCACATCCATCCCTGCTTGTCCTATTCAGGGTGGTGGTGTGTGTGGGGGGGGGGGGGGTCTAGAGCCTATCCCAGAGGCTACACACACAAGGCAGGGAACAACCCATGATGGGGTAGCAACCATCACAGGGCACACTCACACACCATTCACTGCCACATCTACGGGAAATTTGGTAACTCCGATTAACCTCAGCATGTTTTTGGACTGTGTGGGTAAATCAGAGCACCTGGAGGAAACCCCATGATGACGCAGGGAGAACATGCAAACTCCACACACGTGGAATCCCAGAGGAGACTCAAAGCCAGGCCCCAGAGGTGTGAGGTGACAGTGTTAACCACTGCAGTTACCTTATATGCCAGCAGTACGGGCTGTTTGGTAACTGCTGATGAACAGTGGGCACCCTACTTCCAGTAACGGGCTCAAAATTCTTTTTGGATAATGCAGTGAAGGCTCAAGGCACTGTACTGAAAATAGTGGGTTCAAAACCAGAGTTGGGCCTCTGAAGGTCTTGGGTTCTATAGCCAGCGTTCAGGATAAAGTGGTTAATACAATTAAGAACTGCAAGAATAGTTATCAGGCAAGTTTGCTGTAAATGAAAAAAGGATTAATTGAATGCCTCTCTTGCATTCATAAGTAAATAGGAGACTTTGCAAACAGCAGTTTCCTGGTTTGCAGTATTGGATTGATGGCAGCGTAATCATTCTGCTGGTTTCCTTTCATCTAAAGATGAGCCAAAAGAAGAGAAAGTGTCCCTCTGACTTATCCTCTAACCTTGGGGTTAAGTCAAAGGAGAGACAAAAACTGTTTTAATACTTTTGAATTGGAAGTTTATTTAAAGCACTGACACAGTACCTGTCTCAAGCATGACGTCAGATTACTTAGTTCAGTTTAAAAACCGCTTTAAATAAAAAATACATTTACAAGTTTTTCCAAATGCACATCTGACACAGGTTCTGGACAAGGTTTTAAAGGATTGACTCAAATATGAGTGTGACAGAAAAAACCTTTACAGTCCTTAGAACCTTCATATACAACTCTGGAAAATAATGAGACCTCCACAAATTTTTCAGTTTCACTCATTTTTCAATTTAAAATATACATTTTTTTGCAAACTCCAACCTGGCTCTTCCCTGCTTCTCATTAATGAAGGGCTTCTTCCTTGCTTTATGGGTCTTCAGTCCTGCTCCTGAAGCCTAGCAGTGCACTTCACACCACTTAATGTTTCCCATTGTTTTTGAAGGTCACTTGAGGTCTTCCAGATAAGTATATTCTCATCTCTGACATCAGAAAGTTGCTTCTGCCCTTTACCTGCCTAGTTTTTGGTTATTGCCATTGTCTCCTGCTTCACCTTGTTCTGCTGTCTTAAAAACTTTGAGCCTGGAAGCAGCCTGCCTCGCAGTGTAGCCTTCTGCCAGCAGAACCAGGATTAAACCAGGATTTAAAAATGCAGATTTTTTTTAAATAGAGTGGTCTCAATATTTTCCAGAGCTGTATGTTTCTTCTTATATCATTTTAAAGAAGAGTGCCCATCTAGGAGACTTATTATTGCGGCCTCTAGAACAATGTTTCCCGACCCGGACCTCGGGGAACCACCGGACAGTCCAAATGTTTGCTCCCTCCCAGCTCCCTGCAAAAACGTGGACTGTGTTGGGGATCCTAGAGAACAGGGTTGGGAAACCCTGCTCTAACAGCCTGCCAAATCACGCCATGCACAGAGAACGGTCTTGGTTAGCTTATAGCATTGTGTTCGTTTCCGGAGCTTCTCCTGCCTGGTCACTTCTTCTCCTCAGGGTTCTCAAGCTGGAGTTCCAAGCTAACGGCCCGTTCAGGCTTACTGTCGCTGAACGGTGCCCTCCCAGTCTGCACTCCAGCTCCTGCTCCAAACTGGAAGACTGATATTGACATAAAGAGAAGGACGCAGTCCACAGTACGCCACCGAAAGGAGAGGCGCTAATGAAGGTTCACGGGATGTAGAGCTAGGGAACGGACACATAACAGAGAGACACAGCTCCGCTCTGGGTCCCGACACTTAACCTGCTTTCACAGCACGGATAACAGGAAAGCAGACTGAGTCAGGCCCACAGGGGATCCAACGGATACCTGTGGGTGCAGCTTAACCAGCAGTGAAGCGATGGACTACGATGCACCAGCAGCATGGACGGCAGAATGAATTCTACACAATCTAAATTTTCTGGCACAGATGGGGAAACGTTACAGGGAGTCCAGCAAAAGACCACTACCACTGTTGGAAAACGGGACGGAAAATACACAGAAAGAACCAACCCCTCATACAGTGGTGGGGAACACCAACCCTACATTGTACAGGACCTCCGACTTTGTTCCGAGCGAGTCTGAAAAACCAGATCATTTCCATGATGTTATTCTTGAACCACAGTGTCCAGAAGACAGAGTTCAGACGGCGAGAATCACAGGAGACACTTGGGCAATGGGGCTGCCAGGTAGCTACACGGGGAAAGTTTGCTTCTCCACCTAACGTAACGTATTGCATGCATATATATGCAGGTGGGTGCCGAAGACAACCGGCGGAAAAAAGCAACCAGCGCACAAATTTCATTCCCGAGCAAAGGTCGCGTGTACAGACCTCATTTCCCATAACTGCTACTTTCACAGTGTTTAGCGATGGTGCACATATCTGTCACACCACGGTGTATAGACAGCTCACAATGTCACCCACCCTGCCTAGGCTAGTCTGCAGTGTTGCCCGGAACAGACTGAACCTTGTGAAAGTTGGTCCCTTAAAGTAGATTCTGATTGCGTCAGGGGATACCCCTACATTCCTCGCTATGGGAGTCCCAGCCCCCAGGTACAGAACTCAACACTCATCTATCTGTACAATCAACCACCGGCTCACAGTCGACTTTTGACTCTAAATGACAGAGACAGGTGTCGATTTTCTGCGACCGGCAACCATTCACGTCTAAAAATCTGTCTTCGACGGATGGAGAGAGATCTTCGATGGAAGACGAGGAGTTGTGTGGTGAACCTTGTCGCAGCAAATTAAAACCTGCCCCCTTTATTGAGCCTTCGGTGGCCAATGACCCCTATAAGTGATGTGTTTAAGGATACAGTAATAATATTTGCATTTGCCATAACAGATTCTAGGACATCTGCCCTTCTTGGGTCAGAATGGTATTGCAGCAGCACAAGACTTAAAATAGCAGTCCAAGTCAAACAAGAATACAATACCATACTGTGGTATAAAGAAAAATGGACACTCAGCCAAGGATACAGAAGGGACAGGAGGACCAGCAATTTGTTTCGTGTTCTGTTTGACGATTCCATGGTGACGGAATTCATGTACTGCAGCTGAATGGTAAGGTGTGAAACTGACTCTTCTGTGTACATTTGCATACTGGCTGAAGGACCTAATTTTGACCTCAATGTAACCATAGTGCTGCTGAGAATTCCCTGTCACCATAAAAACATCACAGACCATTAGGGATTGGTTGGCTGGACGCGTCGGTCCTCCTCCTTATTGGTTGCCATGCTGGGTTGCTGTGTGGGCGGGCTCTCAGTCCTCCTTCTTGGCGTCGGTCTGCTGGACGTCACGGGGCACTGAATTGTGAAGCACCAGGAGCCCTGACAAGGTGAGGGAGATGCCCACCCACCACAGTACAGCGTGGGTCTCCCCAAAAATTAGCTGCCCCAAAAATGCCTGAGAAAAAAAAAGATCTAATTAAATGACTGGCACTGAGTGTGTCCTAGTCTTAAGAAATTAACTTCCAAAAATGCCCATGGGGAATTAAAAGCAGCATTAAAACATAACTGATTCTAAATTTGTCCTGAGAACCGGAAATTAGCCGTCTTCCCTAAGGCCTGTAAAAAGTATCAGTAGAACAGCAACAGCAAGGCCACAGAACTATCGTTCCTTATGAAACGTCGGTACTAGAATGAAAACGGACAGATGCTGTAGGACATACAACAAGACTGACTCACTGCTATACATGTCTTTAAATCATGCTGACAAGAACCAGGATGACTCAACTGGCGGACAGGCACATTGCTATCTCAAACTTTCAGAATGTATTAGAGATGTCTGAGCACTGACATATTTTAGACTGGTGGTTAGGCTGAGGTTCAGGCCCAGGAGTCAGAGCCATGGAAGGACCAGGGGGCGTGCGAGAGGTTACTCACTGAGGATATGAAGTTGGAGGCTGTGGTGGTCACAGTGGCTCTGGCTGAAGAGGAGGAGTACCTGAGCGCCTTGGCAAAGAAGGTCCACATCACAGCGTTGCATGTGAAGAGCAGCCCTCCACAAAGGAGGCGGAGGGGAATGTGCAGCTGCAGTGGAGACACATACACACCCTCACACAGCTGACACACACTCTACACACACTCTACTACAACAGTCACTGATACACTGAGCCCACTGTTAGCTCACCTGTTTTAATAAGTAATAAACCCTGACCGAAAGTGGCAAAAACAGAATAAAAATCAGAAATCAAAACTAATAAAGTATTCTGCAGATGACAGTAGATCGTGTTTCTGCTTTGATGACTTCCCAGTGACAACTGCTTTTTTAGGTTCTACTACCTTCTGAGACAGCGGTTACAAAGAATGAGACAGATGCATTACACACACACTGGCAACACTTCTAACACGTAAACGAAACATTTACAGTCACTGCGATACTGGTTAATATCACTGAACTTTGCATTGCAAAAATACGGCAAACCTAAAAACCGAATCGAACAAGATGCCACCACACTGTACTATCCCTATCCTTTGTACAAGTGAACGTACAACACCGAAACAGTGGAAAGTTGGCAGGTAGACCCGAGGCACTCAAACCCAGGAAACACCGCACCTCCTCTGCACCTGCATGTAGAGATATGCGCTCTTCTCTCTTTGATATTTTGCATTGATTCTAGTTCGTCGAACATCGAAACAGCCTCCTTTAGAGGTCGTATCATTTACCTGCTATTAAAGTACCCTATCGACCCTTGACTCTCCATGCATCTAGGATGGGCCTATTAATAATGATAATCGTGTATTTATACATAAGATATCGGTTCTCTTTTCCTCGTGACACTAAGGCAATTGCTATGCACTTGAATTACACAATCTGGCTCTTAATTTTGTAATGTTAAACACATGCGCAAATCAAACAAGGGGGCAAACCTTTATTTAATTAGCATTAAACAATGTTACTACTTCCACTATTTTTCCATATACAACAAATTTATGATGTCATATGCATAAAATGTGAAGGTCATTTTGCTCGACCTCGAATAATCATGGTACGTAAACAGATAAACCTGCCAATCAAACCATCTTCAGCATTAAAACACCTAAAACGCATGTCCTTTATCTGCATTAAATAAATCCTTCTGCCATTAGTAGCACTACGGTGAAGCTGCGTTTTATGCTGCTGTCTGCGCGAGGCTCCCCGCGCGCTGACAGCTGCCGACACGCTCGAGCTGACGCGGTCCAAATCGGCACCGGGATCACCGAACCCGCGCGCGTCACCGCATCGCCCGGCGTTCTCCAGAGTCCTCCCCTCCCTTAAATAATTCACGCCGGCCTCACCGCGACGTTGCCTTACCCAGTCGCAAGCCGTAGTTTGGTCCGCTTGCCTAAATTTCCGCTCCTCTCCGCCCCACGTTTTTAGACCGGTTTCACACACCCCTTTGAGGTAATCGGCTCCTAGCGACAGTTTTGCAGATGACGAGGCTACGGCTCCGAGGAAACCCGCCAGCAGTGCATAGAAGACACCAGGGAACATCTTCTAGGTGCTACTAAAACCACAACAACTACCTAACGAGATTTCAGTCCCTCACATTTCTTAGCTGTACGAGTATGAGTATATACTGTACTTCCTACCTATAGCCGCCCATCAGCTACACCAATCAAATTACGTCGTGCCAATAGTCTACGTTTCAGGCTATGGGATTGTCCTACTCCTGCGTAGTTATGGGAGTTGGAGTTTATTTTTTGTTGTGCAGTCACGCTCTTAATTATTTCTATTAAATCACCGGATGCTCACTTCACGGCTCTGATTCATATGAAGAGCTTTAGCGAGATTAAACGAAAATAATATCAACTACCCAATTCCTGTATTCTATGTTATTTAAAATTCCAGTATATTTCGATCACAAAGTGAAATAAAAAATAAAATAAAGACCCTCCTAAACTTTTTAATTCTTTGACATTCTTAAATGTGTATGCACAAAAGCACCAGCAACAACGGAACGGTGTCGTTGAGGTAATCTGAAGGACATACCTTAAATTAAATGAAATGAACCGGATAACAAAAAATTACTGAGGGGTGTCTCAAGAGCAAAATTATCCGAGGGACGCTATACTTCAGTTCAAGAGCTGGAACAAACAGATCCACACAGGCGCGCACACACAAACTACATAGATCGAGGTTTTCGTGTAACTGAGCTATAGTTATGCACGTTTTTATACGTTCAAGAAAGGTACAAGTTTGCAATTGAACTTCCTTGAATTCTGTTGGTCCTTGTGTCACTACTGAGCAATACAATATACTACATTTAAAGTAGTCAGATTTAATCTAAATATTTTGTCAATCAACAATAAAAACTCAACTTCAACAGGATATAAATTAAACACTTAACTGACTTTTACGAAACCATATATGTCATATTAGCCGTATTTTCTTTTAAGACGTTTCCTACATAAACAATGCAACGGATCGAAACGTATAACGTAGGCAGTGCGCGGCTTGCGATAACTGCTTGTGATCAGAAGGTTGCTGGTTCAAATCCCAGGCTATTTCTATCGTTTTGCCCAAATTCCACTGGCTGCCACACCAATTCCCTTTACGCATACACTAGTCCATCTTATGCTATAGGCGTATCTATATTTTTCTCAATTTTTATGATACTTGAAATATTGTTCAGAAGTTGCCTGTAGTGTGGGCCTTTTGCACAAAGTATTATTATTTTGGGTTATGCTACATTGTATTTTAAACAAATCCTCGTGATTTTTTCAGATGCTTATCTAATTTTCACAAAAAAATTATTTTGCACAAAAGTTAATTATAGTTGTTTTTATTGTGCCAATAAAATGTTTTATAATATTAAGTGTTACGTTAATTGCATTAAAGGTAAGGAACTTTATTTACATTACACATTTCATGCAGACGGTAAATTCAAAGCAGTAAATTCACTGACAAAGCAGAAGATCTACGGTGTCACATTGTATAATATTTACAATGCAGATCATGGACATTGGGTCTGGCAATAAGAGTAATTTAGTGTCACCAAATCTAGTCTACACCTGCGAAAGGAAACTACATTGGTGGGATGTCTAAGTCTGAATCTGATCCAAGTTTTACACTATCATTAGCGACCGCTAAATAAATAATACTCCTCTTTGTCGTCTGTCTTGCAGGCCTATTGATTCTCTGTCTGCATTACTTAATGCGTTAACATTAATGCAAACTTACCCAGACTCTCAAAAAAGGATGCCAAATTAATTTACTGACTGATATCTGGCTGCTTAGGGGTTTGAGGGAATGGGAGATGATGGAGGTATGTTAGAATAACACCTGCACTTGCAGGATTTCTTCAATGGTACCCGTTTAAGTTCTGGATGACTACACTCAGTCAGCGCCCTGCACAGAGACTACACTGCCCAAATTGTTAGCTGTCTATTGTTATGATGGCTTAAACTACAAAGTACTATAAACTACTGTGCAAATGAAAATTTCCCCCGGTGGCAATAACGATTCTAAAAAAATAATAAGGTTTAAATGGTATTTTGTATCGTACGACAATTACGTAACGTAATTGAAGAAATTCTGTCCAGGGGGCGCGCGACACCCTCGGAACGTTTGCCCTCGCGAACACGCGCCTCACAAGCAATGTTGATTGTCTGGGCTCATGTTGATGACGGTTTGATGACGCATTTCTGTACTGACGGTTGAAGGCCAAGGCGCGATAGGTTATTTACGTATGTGTTTTGCCTTCAAACGCTGTAGCATAACGCTGCGAAATGAGCAAGAAAGGAAATGTATCTTGGGTGAAACCAACAGAACCTTCTTTTCTGCGTAAATTCAAGAATGATGTTGGCTATAAAGAAGGACCAACAATCGATACAAAGGTAAGGAAATAAAGCCAGTATATGATAGCGTGTATTTAATGTTGTATTCATTATTTGAAATGGGTTTAGGACAGGTTGGTTTATTTTGTTAATTTTAGTAAAGATTCACTATTTAATGGATGTTCATATTTTAATTAACATTTAAAAATTGCTGGTTTTGTTCCGTCTACGGTCTAGTTCAATGACGTTATTTTTAGGTACTGACTACAGCAACTCGGTTGAGGTTTGTTTTTGTCTCAGAAAGTGGTGATGCCCCCGTGTGATGACGACAGCGGGGACGGGGACAGCGACCGCGAGGACGAAATGCCACAAGTCGTGGTTCTGAAGGACGGCCACCTGACTGCGGAGGAGGTCAAAAATATGAAAGCCAAGATCAAGGCCCCCAAAGATGGCGAGTCTGCGGCTCATCCATCCTTACTCCTGTTAGATGTTTGTTATACTTGAAGCCAAGGCTCTGCTGTGGTACACTTGTCTGGAGTGTCCCATCATTGGGATCAGTGTTCAGTCAGGCACCACATCCATTAAATGTCCATTGAACATATTTCTTGTTGAGGCTTAATTTAAAATAAGGAATATACCTTAGTTACTCCACAGGTCTTATTGAATGCTTACTAGATGCTTCCAGGCTAAATTTCTTCCTGTACCTATAGCCCCAGAAGACAAGCCATCTGAAGATGGTAAGATCCTGTTCAGGAAGCCGGTAAAACGCACCTCAGAGAAGTTCCAGGGCATCACTGCCAGCTCCAGCAAGAAGAAGAAGAGCGACGATGTCAAGAAGGAGGATGATGTACGGAAGAAGGTGAAAAACAGCAGCCTCCTGTCTTTTGGCGGGGATGAGGAAGAGGACGATTAGCCTCAGCACAGATGGGTGATCTAAGCCTATTTAGACAGAAGAACCTTGGTCAGGTTTGACCCCAACATCTTCATCTTCATCGATTTATCTTGTCACCTTTTGGTCACATTTTGTAAGATGGCTCCATGGCTGGTATGATAGCATGTTGAACATCTATGAAGTCTGACCCGTTTTAGAAGGAAGCACTAGCTCAGTTCTGCTAGCTGCTATATTTAGGAAGTGTGTACGGTGCTGAAAGTGGCATCATACCCAGAAATTTGAGCTTGCCAGCCACTTTTACCCTTTGTTTGTGGATGTCGTCTAAGAATGGGGTCCGGAGATCAAACCAACATCCCTCCTCCAAATCAGGTTAAATTAAGCAGCCATGGTTGAGGTTCTCCCCTTAGTATGTAAATGAGGTGTCATAGAGGTTAATCAATAAATGCAACGGTGGGAGGGAGCACCCACTTTTTTCCATGTTGGTTTTCGTTCTTCTCCATTATTCCAAAGTTTTATACTAAAAAGTACCATCATTCTAAAATGAGAGCAAAGGTTTCTCCTTGAATCAAGTTTATCCCATTAAGGCTTCCTGTATCATATTTTACATCATGGAAATGTTTGTTTCACTGCACAGAGAAAGTTCTATTTTCTGTTCCATGACAGAACAAAGTGCAGTCAGTTTGATACAGAAATCTCACATTGCACGTCTTGATAACCATTCATATCGGCTTTTATTTGTGACTGGGTTAGATATATGAGCTTTATTTTTTTTAAATCTCCCTTTTCCACCATTTATAGAGGGTCCCTCCCATTGCATTTTACCCTTTCATCTCATTTGGTGTGTATATACATGTCAAAGCTTTTACAAAGGAGCTGACCATTTACAGTTTGGCTTGCTGTTGATACAATGTGAATTCTTACTGTTTGTTACTATTTTAAGGAATTTAATAGGGAACTTGGTGCGATTACTGTAGCATGTGGATATGAGCTGTTGCATCTTAATAAACCTTTTAATTGAAGGAAAAAAATTGTTGGAGAAAGTCATTCAAGAGGTTGCAGAGAGCACCAAGAAGATAATGTCCACTCACTTGAGTCATGTTTTGCATTTACCATTTCAAAACTGGATCTGACTGTTGACCAGTACGAGGCTTTGAGCAACACTTCAAGAGGGATGGCTGCAGGAGAAGTTCTACAGATTCAGTGTTCTGCGACTTTCGAAATTCAGAGGTGTCTGATAAACCATGTACGCCTCTCTCTTTGCCCGGTTCCTCTCAGGGTGGTTCAATGACTTCTGAACACAGGACACTGGTATAACATTCCTACATAGACGATCGCAGTGGGACCAGAGCTAAAGAACACATATTCAAAGGAACAACAAAAAAAACTTTCCGGGTTAAGATTCCAACCAAGTCGATTTTAATTTGCATCACCAGAAAAGGTTACATGTTCAGTGGCTTTTGATACATTGGAGTACAATGATTATGATGACTGAAGGTTAAAAGACGCATGAGAAGTGACATTCAAAGTGAACTAAAAGGCAACCGTAAGGTAGGAAGTACCCAAGCCCTCATCTGAAGAGTCTGATGTAGTTTAACTCTGAAGAGGAACACTGATGTTCTTTGCCTGCTTGCATGAAAACTGAGAGGCTTCTGCCTCCTGGTGAGCATTCACAAAGGCAGGCTGAAGGGTACTTAGCTTTGCCGAAGGATCTCCCGGAGTGCCATTTTTCTGTGAGCTCTTTGGCTCTGATGTCGCCAGTCTCCCCAATTGTGAAAGACGAGATATTTTGGGGTAAGTCTTCCAAGTGTTTCCACCAAAAGACGTGGGGGGTAGGATTCGTAAATCACTCGCTCTTCTAAGAATGCCGGTGCACTTGGCAGGATGCCGGATTATTTTCTATAATACAAGCTGCGGTCCCAGCCGTCGCCCTGAGATGGCACAGGGTGGGAGCCATAGTGGAGCCACCTGTCACAGCTTCTGGTTTAACGTCTCTATCGCGTCTTTTCCTCTCAATCATCTAAAAGCTTATGAGATGGCAGTGTGCGTTGCGGCTTTTAAAAATGATACAAGATTCTGAATTCTTCAGAAGGGCTGAAATGAATATGAATTAGTACAAAATTAATCAACTAAAGATTAATGCAAACGCGCCCACACTCTCAAAAAAGATGCTAAATTAATTCACTGCCAGGCTTCTGGCTGCTTAGGGGTTTTGGGGAATGGGACATGGAGTAGGTGTGTTAGAGTAAGACCTGCATTTGCAGGGTGGCTTAAAGGGCACCGGTTTCAGTTCTGGATGATTACGCTCAGCCAGCGTCCTGCATGGTGCTTTATACTGCCATCTCTGAACTCTTGATCCTCCAAAATCAAACCTGAGTACCCCTGTTATAACATTGTTTATTGACACATTCTAGGTTCCATAAACATTCCAGAATAATATGAGTAATGTGTCAATGACAGACCAAGATTAAAATACTTTAAAAGTAGCAGGGGAAGGCAGGTTAAAAATATCAAGCGGTAATTTTCACTAAATACAGTCTTGCTACTAAAATATGACTGTATATACTGAGAATCAGTACAAAAATACAAGATGATAAAAGATCGAAGGAGTTTAACACAAAGTGGGCATGGGTGTTGGAACGGGATGGGCTTATTCCACGGGAACCGGACCCTGGTGCAGATTGGGATTTTAGGACCCCTGGAAAGGATGCCCCAGTGAAGCCTGTAGGACAACTTTAAAATACTGTAAACAGTCCTAGAGGCCATACTTTGCATCTATCCCTTTTTGTTTTTACTCCCGGCATTAAAACACCATAGTTACAGTAACCATTATAAACACAATATGAAAACAGTTATTAAAAAAAGTAGCTCAGGTTAATATACTTAAAAAGAATAGGGCAGCATTTCACCTTGTTCCCTGTGTAGTCTCTCAGAACCACCTTAAAGAATGTTTAGTTACCCGTGCTATTTTCAGGAAAGTGTCTTTTACCATTCTGACCAAAATTACACAGCCGTGCAAAATCTCTGGTGGCTGGTTCGGAGCCAAATGATGTTTATAAAGTATTTTAAAAAAATTAAGAAAACAGACCCTACACCATTTTTTAGAAATTAACTAAAGTGAGAAAGTGAAGCAGATGCCTTTGGCGGCCAAGAGGAAAGAGGGCAGGTCCAGTTTGTTTCCTGGGTGGACGCGGGGGTTCAAAAGGCACTGTCTACACACTCAAACCCAGGGGTGGCGCTTTGAAGAGGGCCTGCGTGTGGCTGGTTATACTGGGCTGCTGGGAGTAGTGTCTCCTCAGTATAACCAACCAAACGTTCTCCCTTTACAGGACTGCGGTCTCTTCAAAGCGCTCGGATATCACCCTGGTGAGCCCTTCGTAATCCAGTGGTAGAGCTGTGGACCCCTTCTGGTGCCTGCTGCAGGCATGGAAAGAGAGATCGGTAAAGAAGGGCAGGACCTGGGGAGTATAGAAGATGTTTACAAGTGTTCTGGGTGGCTTTGAAGGCAGGAGATCATGTCCTGCACGGGCTTCCCTTCAAAGCAGATCTGGTAGACAGCAGTGAAGAGTGGGAACCTGGGGAAATGTGCAGAGACGGCGACTGATGATAAAGGAAAAAAACATTGCTCCAAAAAGAAAGTTTATGGGGGACAGGCCTGTTCAATGACTGGCACATGCTGCCCTCTGGTGGCTTGGAAGCCCATTATGGGACAAGTGACAACACTCACTTGTTCACAAGGCCCTTCTGCTTGAGGATGTGATGGACCTCAGCTGCGGTTGCTGGTCCTTGGAGCTTTTGACCATTGAGCATCTCCTTCTCCAGCTCCTCGATGCTCTGTTGAGAAGGGGAATGAGGATGGACAAATGCATCAAAAAGCCATCCTTATATACATGATACCCTACTACTCTCTAAGCATCTGGATATCGTGGACATCCAGCTCTTATAGACTAATGATCCCAGAGGCAATGAGATAAACAGTTTAGTGGTTGTGATGGTAATTATTCAATTTTGGGTGCAGATCACATCCCCTGGGACGGATGGGTGGTCGGGAAAGGCCGAAAACGAACATTTTCCTGTGTCACAGACTAAACACTGAGCTTGAACTTCTCATCAAAGATAAAACTTCACATGCTATGAGGTTAAATATCAGACAGCCTAAGATCCATCTATGAATCATTCAGGCAGGTAACTTCCTCTTACTTATAGTACGGTTGTCTTTTGATAGCTTTCAAACTGGCCAATTTGACGATTCACAATAAACTGGAACTATGTTAAAGATTTGCTAGCATATGCTTGCTATTCTCATGAGAAAGTATGCTTATAGACTGCATTTTCGATTTCAGTTTTAAACACAGGTAGCATACATGCCCCGCCCCCTGGAGCGGACCCACCTTCCCAGAGGTGACGAACGCCTCAGAGACGCGTCGATTGCGACCCCCGTAGCAGGTGGTGATGAGGTCGGCCACACCGCAGCTCTCCAGGAAGGTGGCGGAGGAGACGGTGCTGTTTTTGCTGAAGAGCCGGGCGAAGGAGATCATCTCCATGAGCCCCAGCCGGATCACTGCCGCTTTGGTGTTGTCGCCGCAGCCCAGGCCATCACAGAAGCCTGCCCCCACTGCCACGATGTTCTGCGGGGAGGAGTCACGGTCAAGCGGAGAAACAGTGCGCAAAGCCAACATACACAACAAGAGCAGCTGGCTGGCACGAAGGCCCGCCTCCATCAGGGAAAGAACCTCATTGGCTAGCACTTCTGTCAGACAGAATCCTTGTCACATATCTGATGAGTACAGAGTTGAAGCCGTTTTGTGTCATGCTCCTACGAATCGACCTGTCACAGCCAAGCAGACATTGTTTAAACTTTCTTAAGCTATAGTACAAAGCCTTCAGCTGCAATGTTGCTGTTATTCTCGGCCTTGTTAGCACACAGTCTTGTCTTCCAGTGACCTCACACACTGCCGGTTCCATTAGAACGGCCTGACAAGGTGGAACGCCAGGGATTTTTTCGGTCATTAGCACGGAAGCCAGAGAGGAAGACTGTCGAAGAGGAGTCTGTGTAAACGAAAGAGGGTTCTGACTCAGACCCCCTTAGAGTACCATCCTCTTGCACTTTAGGATGCCAGTTTCATACGCCTACAGTGAAATAAAATTGTACACAAAGCAGTTCTTTTTTTAGGCATGCATTTTACCCCGAGGAAAACGAAGGATATCCCTGGATGCACTATCCACGCCTGGCCGCTGCCCCGACTGCTACAGCCGGTCCCCTGCTCCTCAGATGACACATGGCTGTCTGTTGGGGACTGATAAGGGCAGACTCCCAGCTGGCCACTTCCTCCTCAGCCTGAACACCAAGCTGACTCCCCACCCCCTGAGTGGAGCCACAGTCCAAATCATTTAGCAAATGCTGTCATCTAGGGTGGTGTTTCCCAATCCGGTCCTCGAAGACCCATACACAGCCCACGCTTTTGCTCCCTCCCAGCTCACAAGCAAAAATGTGGACTGTCTGGTTGGGAGCAAAAATGTGGACTGTCTGGCAGGGAGCTTAGAGGGAGCAAAAATGTGAAGTGACTGATTTAGACTGACGTCCATTCATCCATCCAGATACTTACGTTTTGCAAAAGCAATTTAAGTCACCCTCCACTAGGGTACGGCAGTAGTGATCTGATTTGCAGGCTCTCTTCACGCACCAAACACCACACATATAAGCCGTATGCATCTTTCCGTACTCGGCTCAACTTTTTCTTCACCGTGAAAATGCAGGTCTTTTTTCCCCCCTTAAACTCACATTACAGCTCCGGTCAGTTTATCAAGCCCATGCGAGTGCCTCTACGCTTTTTATAAACGAATTTCCGTGCGCTTTGCTCCAGGCTCTGCGGCTCAGCTTTCCGGCACCTTCCGGCGTGAGGTGGCCACATGGGACCGTGGTGCAGAGAGAGGAGAACATGAAGCCTGGGGATGCTACGGGGGGGGGGGGGGGGCGGCATGAGAGTGGGAGAAGCAGAAAATGACAGCAAAAGCCTTCAAAGCCATGCTTCACAGACAGCCATCAAAAATAAAGCCCCGAGTATTCATAATCATACCACACGACCCCACCCTGTGGAATAACCCATCTCACTGTAGAAGAAGCTGAAATGTCTTATTGGGGCAGCGTGACACTCAGAGGGCTACGCCTCTATATGCCTGTGACTGGAAGGTCGCCAGGTCGAGCCTGTGGGCCCACAGTCATGTCTGTAGGCCATAGAGCGAGGATCATAACCCCCAGCTACATGGTCACTGCTACAGGTGGCTGCCCTTCGCAGCCAAGCTCGTCCTCGCCTACATGTGTGTCTGTGTCATGGAGAGCCAGATGCGGTGGGTCATCATCACTCTCTGAAATAACATAGTACTGATTGTGTTGTTCAATACAGCAGGACAAGGGAATACGGATCACATGGTGTCCAGTGTTTCCGTTACTGAAAGGATGGTTGGAAGACGAGTCACGCTCTTACTGTTCGTATACAGAAATGCCAGCTTGGCTAACAGAAATAAACAGATAAATAACATCACCAGTTGAATTGTAATTTGTTCAGAGTATCAACTTTAAGCCCATTAAACCTGCTTGGGAATGTCAGCATTCACACTCTGTAAACAGTCTGACGGGACACGCCCGTCAACAGCCTCAGGCTTTTTAATGAGTTTGAGAGAACGGCAGTGACTCATGGAGGAGGTGCAGAGGCGAGGCAGGGTGGGAGGCAGCGCACCTGCCATAGTCCCCGTTACCCAGTAATTACCGGACTTTGAGCAGGAAAATCTGCTTCAGTCCGACATGTAAATCTCTCCAATCATGTCTGGTGAAAATAATTGCCTCTACACACACTTTGAGTCGTTTTAAATGGGGTAAAATGAAACGTCCAGGAATGCTTCTGTTAAAATAACCCTAATTTCTTTTATATATATATATATATATATATATATATATATATATATATATATATATATATATATATATATATAAATATAAATGTGACAGTCCTCCATCCCCATCTGCTCTCCACTATCTTATCCCGTGTCTCGATGGACTTTAACCTACAATTGGCTAATGAAGATCCGAACAGGAAGCACCTAGCTGGATCGGTAAGCAGCTCTCACCCTTTCCTGGATGCTAAAATACTGCTCCGACTGACGCTTTCTGTGTCTCAGTGGTCGCTAATGACCTTTTATCTGCAGAATAACAGGGCTGCTGCAATGTAATGGAATCGTGTTTGTGGTGCTTCGAGTCTGTAGATAGTAAGTACAGCAATAGCAGGTTTGCGGTAAACACAGCCTAAAGGCAAAGAGTTGGCTTGTAACGTCTTACATGATGGACTGAAGCTAAGAACAGCAGTTAAAGGGCAACACACACATGTAGCCATTAGATCAAAATAGTTATACTTTCATTAATCATTAGAGGGAACACTCTCTGGTTTGGCTCCTTACTTTGGGCCTAGAACATTCTCAGCTCTGGCTCTATGGGCCACAGTGTGGGCAGGTTGTCAAACTGGACTGATTACCCTTAATAAGCGAATTAATTTAGCATATCCACCAATCATGTGACTGTTAATTGATTGACATTTGGAAGCCCACATTCATCTTCTGGATGTATTTACCAATAAATACTTTTGATTATACAGCTGCAAGAAACAGAGCTTGGTCAGAAGTCTTGTTGCCAGTGCACAGAAAAGGAATCACTCGATGCACTGACCCAGCCAAGAACGGCAGGCGGAAGTAATTGGTAAAGTAAAGAGCGGAGCCCATCTAAGGGCCGTAAAAAAAAACAGGACCGGAAAGCATCAATAGAGACGCTGTGACAGCAGCCAGACAAGGTTACCAATGGCATCACAGCACTGCAGGAAGATCCTGATAGGAAGAGGGACTCGGAATCAGCTAACGGAAAAGACCACTGGGACTTTCGGGAGAATTCTTGATGGGCCACTGAATCTGTGGAACAGGAGTGAAAATTATTCAAGGGGGGGTGTATTTTTTTTCCTGGACTGTCCCATCCCTGTGTCCATGACCTTCAGCTGGTCTCCTGGCTCCCGTCCGACAGCCGCCCGCTTTCTTTTACTCTGCCTCAGGCTCCGTCTCATTATTTTTCAGAGTGATGTTCTTGTTACTGACTGATTTGTCACCATGCACAATTTCAGCATCCCTACTGCACCCAGAGCTGAAAAGAAAGGCCTTGCCATTTCTGCTGAGCCCCCAGACCGCAGCCGTTTCCCAATCCAGCGTGCCCGGAAACTTGCGTCAGTGTTTTTTGCAATGGCTGCTCTACTACGAAGGCAGTGTCTACAACTCATACCTTAGGTTAGGTTATTCGTTTTTTCTTTTAAATGCTCAGGAATGGGTGTACAGGCAGATAACAGACTTGTTATCCATTTGAATCCATGGACTTTCCATGGCGAAAAAGGAGTTTTTCTTGTCAAAGGCCTGAATCAAAAGCCTGACTGACTTTGTGTGGCTGTTTGAGAGCTGTGCCAATAAACCATATTAGAAGACCAAGAGTGGAGTTGGCAGTGAAGCGGGATCCACACTGGACTGGTTTCATTGGGTAGCGTAGTCAAATGGTAGCGTAGCAAGAAAGTAGGGTTGCAAAGGGGCAGAAAATTTTCAGAAACTTTCCATTGCATGGGAAGTTAAGCAGGGGAGTTTTGGAAATATTCCAGGTTGGATATTTTCCAGAAGGAGTTATAGGGAATTTATGGGAATTAACAGGAACATTTCCAGAATTTTGCAACCCTACAAGAAAGTGACATTGATTTCCAACAAAGAACCTGATATCTGGTGCAGCAAATTTGTTAAGGTACAGGCTTCTGCTGTAGAAATTAACACAGTAATAATGTGGCCCTTGATCATAGCATGAAGCTAATTAGGTGGAACTGGATCAATTTCCATCAGAATGGGGGAACAGGAGGTCAGAGAGCCAGATCAGATGTTAGGAGGCCCTGTCCAGGGCCAAGGCGCTGGCAAGAAGCAGGCTGTCACCAGGCTGTCACCTTGAGGGCCCCGCAGAGCTCCACCGTGTCGGCGTCTGGCACCACCGTGATGCGGAAGTTGGGCGTCTGCAGAAGCTCCTTAAACAACTGCCCGTTTTCCATGATCCTGCTGCCTGCAAAGCAGAAAAGGAAGGTCAGTCTTTGCCCAGAAAGGGAATCTCTTCCTCCAAGGGGCAGAGGAGCTGAAAGTCTCCCGAAGAGCCGTCATGCTACAGGTGGTGCCACGCCGAAGGTTCCACCGTGCGCCTCCTCCCTTCTGACCCAACACCCAGAGGTCCCTGAAATGGAACTGGGGTGATATCACCTGCTTGGGCCGGTTTTAATGACCAGTCACCCATTTTGCCATCATGTCACAGCCATGGTCTTCTTGTCACTTCTTGTAGATGGGAAACCTTTCCTTGTTCTACAGATGCCTTCCAGTCAGAAGGCCAGCACACTCAGACTCCCAAACATACTGCAGAAATGACTACCTTGAAAGGAAAAGAACTTTCTGGCATGATCCGATGTTGGGCAGAGCACTGGCCTGGATCCCAGAGAAAGGACGCGATGACTCATGATTGTGTGGCATTCTACGATTCCACGAGGGGCTCCCCATCTGCCGGCAGGTGCCATGGCCCCCCCCGGCCGAGTGGCAGCTCGGAAGACCTCGCCTTTCATTAAACAGGCTCGACTCCACACATGGGGCCACTCAGATAGGGCCTCTGCTCCAGAGCACGAGGGAAACACAGGCCTCTTACGTAAGGACAAAGGGACCAGTACAGACTGTGTTTCAGCTGTGGACTAGAACCGCAGATGTCTAGCATGCCACTTAGGGATACTGCTGGTGAGCTGCCAAGCGACTGATGCTTATTTAGCACCGCTAACTGAAAGCACCGCAACCCAAACACTATTAGCACAGCACTGATAACCATGTGCTGCTAACCAAGACCTGCCACAGTGAAAGTCCTCACCCAAACGAAAATCTGCATGACATCAGTTACAACTTTATTATTTCCCAGCAAATGAGGTTCTCCCAGTTCAAGATCAGCCACTATCATTGTCAGGTCCAAGCCTGAATGAAAGAGGAGGAGGGTTAGGCATTGGGCCAGCTACTGCATCCTGGAAGAGCCCCTAGCAACGGAAGCCATAGCAACATAGGTCTGGATACCTCAATCCTGGGAGAACACATGCCTTCAACACAAGATTTAAGGGATGCTAGGGATGGATTTAACATGGTCTATGCAAGCCTGCAAACAACATCACCAAGAATGCCCTGTGCTGGAATCCCCATGGTGAAAGGTAAGGAGGACAACCAAGCAGTAGCCGGGGACTGAGACCCCCGAGGCCAGCAACAGACGGGCTATACCTGGAGCCAGCTGGAGAAAGATGTCTGGAGAGCCCATGCTGGTGGCCTACACCCCAGAAGGCCGCCTCCACACTACACGACTATTAAAGTCGCCAGATTGCTGTACTGTTCACACTGAACAACATGTCATCTTGTAATAGGGAGTCTTGAAGTCGTTGTGGTTCATACACACGACTGATCAGCAACAGGGGGTGACACACTGCAAGATCTTTCACCAAGAAAGATCCATGTCTTGCGCTCTCATTGTAGCTTATTGTCAGCCGTGACACTTTCACACAGTCAGCATGTGAAATATCTGCCGGGCATCTGTGACGCACTGGCGACTCTGTCCGGTTGCGCCTTTGAACAGGTTCACACATAACAATCTAACTGATATGTCTCCAGTCTGGGGGTTTTGTCTGCGATCTTCAAAAACTGTCGGCGAGCAGAAAATCAGGGCTAAAATCGTGTAGCGTGAACTCAGCTTTAGAAGTAGCACTAGTTAAGGTAAGCTTATCATACAAGTCACGTGGTAAGGAGACCAATGAACCTCTTGTTTTGATATGGGTTGACATCATCACTGTTGCAATGGTGTCTCATTGGCTAATTGAGTTCTGCTAACGAAATGAGCACTGCTAGTCATATAGAAGTTTATATAGAAGGCAGGCTTTTTATCAGTAGGCCAGCAAACAGACAGCAGAACAGTTCAATCACAGATACCAAAAAGCAAAAGCCCAGGCAGAGAGTCTGTATCCATCTGTATGTAAGAGGACTGGATTTAAACCAGTGACGTTCTGGTGGTGAATGAAGTGCCCTACGGCCCACTTCCTTCCCAGCCACGTCATCATCTTCTTGGTATTCCCAGGCTATGAGACCATGCTGTCTTGCAGAGGGTGATCTGCTCGTGTCATCGTATGAGATGGTAAGTGCTGTACGTGCCGCTGAGGTCACCGCGGGGATGGGTTCTCACCGATCGTGGTTTCGCAGAACTTCTCGGCAGCCACCTCGTTGGCGATGTTGGCGCCCATGAGCACACTGACGTCGATGCTCATCTTCTCCCTGATGATGTCAGAGATGAGTCGCAGGCCCTCGGGACCCTCGTCAATGCCCTGTTGTCAAGGGGAACCAACTGCCGCTTCAGACCACAAACTCATAATCAACATTCGGAAACAAAAAAACACATTCAAATCAGCTTGGCACCCGTGCTACTGATAACCATATATGTACAACTTATCTTATGATAAAAAAAATAAAACCTTAACATCAAGAAACTCTTAATGGGGCTATTTCAGGGTCTCATATTAGATGAAAGCCAAAACACCAGCAGCCTATAATTTAAGATCTTTCCATTTCCTCTGAGTCAGGGTGTCAGACCCATTTAGGTGTCTGATCAGGCTACAGATCAGCGGATTTAATGAGGACCAGAGTGCACTTGGTGTGGTCTTCATCAGTCTGAGCATCTCCAGTATCTGTAAGAGTCTTAATGTAGCTTATGCTAGCTAGTGCATGCTATAAAAATTCAAAGCATGATAATCAATGTGATTAAATTAAATTATAGCAACGTGTGATGTTAATACCGTGTACCGCTGCCTAAATGCCTCAAAACTCTAGATTAGAATAGATAAGAAACTTTATTGATCCCTGGAGGAATTATAGTGCAAAAAACAGTGAGGAATGAGGAACTCAATGTGCAAAGACAGTTCACATAGCGCGCACGAGTAAACGTGGTGCAAACACATTTTAAAAGTACACGAACAGAATGCTGAATAATAGAATGTTATTTGATATTAATGAAATAACGAAAATAATAATAATAATAATAATAAATGAGTGGCATGCCAGTAGGAGGCACTGTGGAGTCTGACAGGGCCAGGCTGGAAGGATCCCCCATAGGTGGATAATTCAGGTCCAGAGAGTAAAAGTCCAGACCAAGATTTTGTTTCAACCAACCAGTTGAGTACTCTGACACTTTATACTAAACTGGTTGGTTGAAATAAAATCCTGGTCTGGATTTTTACTCGCTGGACCTGAATTACTCTCCATTGGGATCCTCAGTAGTGATTCTTAGCTCACCATGGCAGAAAGGGCCAGCAGTAAGACCATGCAAAACACTGCACAATTTAACTATTGTACAAACTTAAAAAAGGGAATATGAATTATACAGCCTTCAGACCACAGTCCTTCAGAACCCCACCCTGGCGAAGTTGTTTTGAAGTAATTATGATCTCCATAGTGCCATGATGATTTTCTGCTGTGGAAGCTTCACATCTCAGGTTTTACTGCCTCGGTACCGATGCCACAGACACGTCACCAGGCACGCAGGTGTAGCGATCGAGCGTGAAAAAACAAAAATAGATGAAAAATCCTCTTTTTAAAGAATGTCACACTTGCCACCAGTCACTCTATGAAAGCACCGTGCTCACAGAGATGTTAAGTATGTGTTTATGTCACGCCTAGAGGCAAGGCTCAGCTCTCGGTGTCATTCAACACTTGCAAGGCTGCAAGCAGCCTGACCTGGACAAAAGGCGCACTTCCAAGAGCTTTTACCTGAGCAGATATCCAACATGATCAAGCCAGTAAACGGTTAACTTCAAAATATAAATATCTCAGGTGACGAGCGCATTTGTTCTCAAATAAAATGCCTGTTCTTCCCTGCCAGCCCAGCAAAACAAGGCTCTATTCACAGTCCCAACCCGAACTAGTCTAGCAGACTCTTCGCAGTCTGACCCCCTAAACACCCCCATCAAAAGGCCCTCAACCTGTACTGCCCCCCAGGGGTGGGGGCAAATTACTTTGCTTTTCTCTTTGTTGGGCATGAAAACTGATAAATTTCACTTGAGGTTTGAGTCTAACAACTATCACATTATAATGTGCAACAGTGGGAACATGCAAAAATTTTTTTAAATTAACGCCTTATGCAATTAATTTTGTTTCTAATTTGCGCTTTTCTTCATAAAAATAGGAATCGCCACATTGCTGTCTTTCAGTTCCTCTTTCAAACTGAAACCCAGTCACTGGCTGACTGGTCTTACTGTGCTGATTAAGCAGAGAAGCCAGAAGAATGAAAAGTTTTAAGAAAGAGGCCATGTCCCCCCCCACCCCCCATCTCCCCGGGGGTCTGTGTGGGAACGAGACGTTCTGGGTGACAAAGGTTTTAGTGATTCAAAGGTAAATATAAAGGCATTCTGAGGTCAGACTGGGCCTCAGTAAGTGGCATCTGCATACCGTCCTGTAATTATAGCAGTCAGCTCATTATGATTGATTTAATGGTGTGTTTTAATCAGACTGATCTTTAGATAATACAACAAACAACCCCCCCCCCCACTCAAGCTGCCACAGACCCGAAGAATCTGGGTCACCAGCTCTGCGGGGACGGCCCACGGAACCTCCAAAATAGCTCTGCAAATGAAATATTCACCAGCGTTCCCACTTCAAAAAATGGGTTCAGCTCAAAAGAACCTGAAGAGAACCTGAGCCAGACAACAGTGAGCCCTCTTTGCCCCGCCTACTGGGGTGTAACATGCAGTGCACGCACACACATACACACACTGCATACACAATACAGCATGCTGCCAGCTTACACAAGCTAAATCAACAGCTTATCCTATAAATAATCCGGCGTTTAATTAATTACTTCAGACAAGGAGTCCCGGAGTCATTTACGAGACTTGACCCAATCCACTATCAGCTGATCTGTCCAACTCGGAGCCTTCAGGCCACAGAGCAGGAAGTCACATGACCAAGACTTGGGCCTCTTTTCGAGGCCTGGATGACTCGAGTGGCAGCGGTTCCCTGTGTCGGCAGGCTACCAGGCCACACAAACGTGCTTCTGCTAGCACAACAGGAACAACCCAGTATTACATGCAGTAACCTGCTTTAAGAGTGGCTGTCACGTGAGGCACATTAGCCAACACCCTTCATATCACGCAAGGCAGTTTACGACAAGGCGGCTCCTTCTTCCCCATCCACCCTCACAAGATATCATTATTTCTCTGCCAATACCATAAGGCAAGTCCCTATCTGTAAGGGAAATGCATGGAGAGGCATGATGCTGCCACATTCCACCGTTTACCAGCACATTCCGAAAGGGCAGAGCCGAAGGAGCATACAGAGTCCAGCTATGAACCGTGCTGGTACCAGGTGCTCCTTATGGGGACGTAACAGGACGAAAAAGGCAAACAGACCCATAGATCTGGAGTAAAACAAGGCAAAAGATCTCCAAACTCGAATCCTGTCTTTAAGGGGAGACGGACACATCGCATTGAGCTTCTGTAGTGTACGGGAGGGTGTAAACGAAGTCACCTTGATGAGGGTGATGCCTCTGGCCGTGCGTGACACGCAGCTGGCCATCTCGTCGCAGAGCTTGCGGATGAACTGGTGAGGCACCACGAACACCAGCAGGTCGGCATCCTTCGCTGCATCCCGCAGCTCAGGCACTGCGACCTGGAGAGGACAGGAAAAAGGAGTCTGGGCTAGAGGAAATAAACCAGGAGGCCTGATACACACTCAGAATTACAGAAAGATGAGGAACCTGGGTATTCCGTGACAGCGGGTCTGCGGCTGACGCCTGGCAGATAAGCTTAGTTCCTACCCCATAAGGGAAGGAAGACCAGTCACGACCAGATGCAGAACAACTACCAGCAAACCAGCAACTCCAAAACAGCCTCACCCAAGAGACACACTTTTGTGTCTTTAATGTTTCCAACCCCGATTCACACCCGTCGATCCACTTATTCAGATTACTACAGATTACCTCAATAGGTACAAAAATAATTTTTACTGCACCTTTGATGTATAAATATAAACGAAACGCAGAAATATAGAGAACAACAGCCTGTTACACCTACAAAGAGTTTCTTTCCTCTTAGAGAAGACAGTTGATAACAGGTTAAGTACAGTCTATCACCGCTGCCTGACAAGGGTCCACAATTACACATGAAGGCAAAGCCCTTGCAGTTTACCAGTGGACAACCTTTACACTTTAATTTGCCAGGACCAGCAAGGAGCAATGTTCACCTAGTCTAGTCACGTTCCTCTGAGGTCTGCTGAGATTTCTCACTTGATTTCTACCATATCTGAGTCTTCCTGGAGTGCACTTACCACGTTCTCTGGCAACTTGTACCCCGGTAGGTACTTGACATTCTCGTGGTCTGTATTTATGATGTCTGTGAGCTTCCTGCCGTTGACATTCTCTTCGTAGACCCACATCTTCACCGTCGTGGCAAATCGCTGCAGTTCTCGCACATTGCTGCCCACGATCCGCGCAATAGCAGACCCCCTTTGCAAGAAACAAAGAAACACGGAAATCATCAAGGAACCCCTTTGCTTGAATGTACCTGTTCAAATACCACAGATGAGACAAAGATGCTACAAAAACTGTCCGGGATACACCCGACCCTGTACACCCCACAGAAAGAAAGGATGGAGAAGTCAAATAAATGTATGTACTTTGGATACTACATTATCTTGCGAAAAAAAAAGAAAGAAAAAAGAGACAACTTTACACCTCGCTTTGGCTTTTGATTGAAAATTGACTGCGGATGCGTTTATATATATATTTGACATAAATACACACACATGCGTACATATGAGTAATCATTAACTAATTATCATTTGCATTTATTATAAACTAAGAACAATAAATACCAAGGCGTGAATACTGAACGCTTCAAACACAAAAGCAGGCGCCCTGAGCCAATGGTGTCATCGGAGACACGAATGACAGGGTATGATTTGCAGAGCGAATGGTTCACTTTCAGTCGTCGTTGTGTAGATTAAACGTGGACTGCATGTGACGAAGAATGTAACTGTACGGAGACAATACACTACACAATACACGGTCTGCCTCCGCATAATTTGCAGATCGCTTTTACGTGAGAGTTTAAATTGCCACGTATTCACTTACAGATAATCTCACAACCATACAATGCAGAAAGGCCAAAAACAATCCCAGCGACGCCGTAGGAACTCAAATGGCACTATTGTGAACAGACCTTAGCGTGCGTATTTTGCCGAAAACTGGAAAAACGTTACAGAAAAACAACTCACCAATTTCCCGAGCCAACGATGCATACTTTCAGAGGCGCGGCCATTGTAGAAGTTGACACGCTTGCAGACAGATTAAAACGTAAATGATAAGAATAAAACTATGTTAAAATTATCACCGACAACAAGTCAGCGCACAGCATACACAGAATAGGAAATTACTACAGCGCGTGCAAACAAGTCTACTGTAAGTGACATCATCACACGATTTTCGACACCGTGGAGAATTCTGGGAGTTGAAGTTTAAATGTTTGGACCGGGTAAAGATTTGCCATTCCATTATTTTCCTTACGTATTAAATGTACACCTAGTGCAAAAGACGTCTCAGATTGTATATTTACTGTCTGAATAATGTACTCGTAGAACAATGTATTATTTAATATATTTTAGCATGCCAATTTTACTGAACTTAGTGTTTGGGAAACAAATATGTTTCATTCCCATCATTCATCATTGCTAAGCTTGCATGTGTGCAATGTATTAAGAGTCGGTAGTAAGTACGGGTTTTTTCACTCTGCGGTGGGGTGGTGTTTTTTTTTCGTAGAACGATACAATCCCACGGTAAATGCAGCTGCTGTTACTGGAAGTGATTTTTTGCTCGTTGAATGTGCATTTACCATGCTGGTGCATTTCTGTCAGATGCAAATTCTGTGTCGCTTGTAGATGTGTCACTAGTAAAGTGTTCGTTATTCCGGCATTGTAAATGGTTCGATAGTTCCTAAGGATGATTAGTGTAAGTAAATTGTGTTCAGTTATTCTTTGTTAACGATTAAAGAGCAAGTTGAGAAATTGTGGACTTTTTAATTGAATAATGTGGAACACATATCGATTTCAATTAGATTTCCTAAATATAAACTATTACAGCCTACTTAATTACACCCGGTAAACTTAATTTAGATTGCATCCAAATATAGTGGGTTACTGTTTGCCCCAGAATGTCCTTTTTATTAGTTAAATACAAAAATATGTAGAATTTGTACAATTTTACATTCAACGGAGACATGAAATGTCGATCAGACTGTAATGCGCGTTTTTCCTAGATATAAAAATATGCAGTCCTTATGCAGCCCTCTAGCGTCGCAGTAAAACAGCAAAGACCGCCGATAATGATGAAGATTCTGATTAAGAACTGCAAACCAGCAGGCAGTACAATATGTTAATCTCAACGTCATCGCCGGTGCAAAATCCACGTTTCGGGTAAAGGCGGTGGCGGCGGAGCCCCTCGCTTCAAATGTGCGTGTATGTGTGCTGTCAAATGGAGCCCCCTCCCAGCGCCGTGGTGATGTGTAGCTGCTGGATCGTATTGTAACACGGTATCCGGGTTGGCGGAGGAGTGGTGGGAGTGACCCCAGCGGTGATTTCCAACGGAGTGGCTCCGAAACAGAAGGACGGTGTCTCCACAGCCGCAGCAAGCAAGAACAGGCTTCGACGTAACTGAGGGTGATGAACGGGAGCGCGTCCGAAAAAGCGAGCCATCCAGTCCGAGCAGTATGGATATTTCTTTTTTAAAGTTGTTCGTTTAACTCAAGGAACATTCGCTACTCTTGCACCACTTATGATTTGACACGACACCAGTAACACGTTGCGACCATGGAAAAGGCGTGCGGCGTCCATTCGGGGGCTCATAAAAGCGGCCCGGGATCGACCTCTTCGGATCGCGGGAATTCGACGAAGAAGCTTGGGAGAAGCGGCTCCCACACCCCGAGCTCGGGAGCGGGATCAGGCTCTGCCAGCAGCCCCGCTGGAGGGGGAGGCAGCCGTGCAGGGACAGCGGGAAACAGCGGGAGCATGCAGCAGCCTAACAGGCGGCACCTGGAAGGAGTGCTGAGCAAATACACGAACCTGCTGCAGGGCTGGCAGAACAGGTACCGGTCCCCGATCGCGCTAAAAGTGGGACCCCCGGAGTTGCGTGCACGGTTATTCTCCGCAGAGTTCAAGCGTGGGGATGACGAATGGCCAGCGTGTGAAATAGCCGTTTAAAATGCGTCCCGCGACTGAAGCAACAGAATCACGATCGTGTTACGTGATGTGCTCATGGTCATGGCGAACGTGTGTGGGACGGTCATGTTGTCAAAAGGTAACGTTTGTAAATGTAACCGATCGGCCGGCTGCGAGTGAGCTGGCGGAACTGCGGACGCGCTCGGTGTTGGTGTGGAGGCTGTACATGCTGCCACGTTTACCGAAACACCACCCCCCTTCCCAAAAAAAGGTGCGTGGGTGAGATCGGAGGGGAAGGGGATACCCACGAACATGCTCCCGGTACACCCAGGAAAAATGGTTCGCGCAGAGTAACTAAAAACCTTTTTTTTTCCATTTTTGAGGGCATCGACGAGTGCTTTTGCTTAAATGGAAGGCGAGGCAACGGACCCTAACGTTATCCGGTACACTTACTAGGCTACCTGTACGCAAACTGCGAGATTTTTTTCTTTTGGCAAAGCTTTAACTTATTTTAACAAGTCAGCAAAAAATACCACCGCTGACCCTTATACTCTCTGTTGGACAGGAAGAACTGTTAAGCAGTCAGCACTAAATAGTGTTAGTGCTGTATTTATAACTACAGCCATGTTTGTTATTGGATTAAAGTCATATGCTGTTGGCCACTAACACGAACGTCACCAACCACGAGGAGAAATGGGAGTAAATAAAAAAATAGCCAGTCTTTTATGTCAATAACGTGGTGGGTGTGTAGGGCACTAAGGACACGGCTCGCTGCCAACTGTTACAGATCATGTGGCCGGTCTCTTGGAAAATGTTTATCTGATGGAGGTTAGAGCACAGAACCCCGTGTAACCGGATTTTTGGACTTGAAGAGAGGGGTTTTCCAGCCCTCGGTGTCTCCGGTACTCCATCAAACCGAATTGCTCCTGTTGCTGCCGGCTGGGGTATCTTGTGATCGCACAGTACTGATGGATTGGACGCCTTTGGATCGGTTTCCCCGCGTGTGCTGTGGTCCTCCCTGCCCATAACTGGCTCTCCTCCAGTCTCCCAGACCAGGAGGGCTTCCAGTCTTTAAGTGGTGTTAGGGTTCAATTGGGGTTTCCCCCCCTAGATCTAATACAATGTACAGAAGTGCGCTTGATAGAGAGTAACACCCTAACACGGAGAGCCAAACATTCAGCACCAGAAGCGGCTGCCAAGGTGATTTAATTATTGTAACCGATTTCCACCACGTCATTTGTTAGTCCCATTTAGCCTACGGAAAATCCATCCGATAGGGCTACTATTTGAACAAGAACCATATACACAACACCTATATGGCAAAGGTTTGCAGATGGATTAAGCATTCAGTTTAACGTAAACGTGTTCAATGTTTCTTTCTCTGACACTTATACTGCGTCACTTGTCTTTAAATTGGGGTAACTATGCACGGACAATATTATAATATTAAAATGGGGTTACAGTGCAATAATCGACCCTCGTAAGGGGCTCTGTCTGACATCCGGGCAGATGGTGGAGCTTTATTTTATTATTTGGCTATGGATCCGTTCAGGCAGCCTACTTTACAGAGTCCCCGGAGCTGACTAACCTACTGGACTGGCCGGATGATGGAGGGAGCTCGCTTCTCGCTGGGCTGGAACGCGACAGTACAAGTCATCCATCCGTTTGGGAAGGAAATGCTACAGCAAGCAGTTATTAATGAAAGGCATAAGGAGGAAAAAAAAAGCAATTTTCCCTTAAATGAGCTCTGCTTTTCAGTGATTGTATGGCTGCTATAGATGAGTTATCCCGAATGCGCTCGCAGCTGTGCAGACCGTAACTGAATTGCCGCTCCGCTTAGTATCTCGCTTATCAGTGTCCGTAACTAAATTATGCGCAGATTGGGCTGAACCGTGCGTTATTGAGTACGTGTCTGCTCTCCCCTCAAGGATCGATAGCAATATTTTAAAGTGCACGAAGACAAATGACTGATATACCTCCAATACCCGTCTAAATGAATCAATATTAACAAGCTGATAAGGGGGAAAACACACGTAGCAGGCATAATGTGTCTAAACGGAAATAGACCAGGAAATAAAAAAAATGTGTGGCACCTGGAATGTGATTAACAGGTCAGCTGTGTAATTGATCTCTCTCTCTCTCTCTCTCTCTCTCTCTCTTTCTCGCATGTTTAAAATGGAGATTTTATGGCTTTGGGTTATAAGTATTGGGTGTGTCAAAGACCAACACAGACCCAGTTCCCGTTTGCCAGTTGCAGAACAACAAACTACCACACAGTGTCCATGTCGTCACCAGTGCATGGGGTGTATTTCACTTTTAAATATACTCAGTTACAAAAAAGGTTAATTACCCAGATGGAGTGGTGGAAATGAAATGAATCTGCACGTGGTGAATGGCCATGTGACTGTATCACAATGATTATAATATCAGATCAAACGCACAACAGAGTTGGCAGTTTGGGCATTCTGCTGGTCCCATGTCAGTAGGGTGTGGCACCCCCCGGCCTGGATACACGTGGTGATATGGTGCAGAAGGGAGTCGTACAGCCGATGTTTCCTCTCCTGCGGCAAGTCGGCCCACGGCTGTTGTAACTGGGCCTCCAGATCCTCCCAAGACTGGCACTGGGTCTGAGTTGACGTCCGAGCTGATCCCTCACATGTCAGATTGGGGAAAGATCAGGGGACCTGGCTGGTCATGGGAGGACCTCAACATGACGCAGGCAGTTCATAGACACGTGCCATTTGTGGACGGGCATTGTCTTGTTGAAAGACTGTACCAGGGAGCTGTCTCAGGAGGGGTAAGTCATGCGGACACAGGACGTCACTGACTTAGTGCTGTGTTGTCAGGGTCCCCCGAATCACTACCAGAGATGACCTGAAGTCATAGCCTACGGCTCCCCTACCATGATGTCATACCCTACGGCTCCCCACACCATGATGTCATAGCCTACGGCTCCCCACACCATGATGTCATACCCTACGGCTCCCCACACCATGATGTCATAGCCTACGGCTCCCCTACCATGATGTCATACCCTATGGCTCCCCACACCATGATGTCATACCCTACGGCTCCCCACACCATGATGTCATACCCTACGGCTCCCCACACCATGATGCGAGGACTAACGCCGGTGTGTCTCTGCACAACATTGGCAGGATCGGTCCTCTCCCCTTGGTGCCACCCATTCGTGCACACAATGGTCATCTGTGGTAATGCAGGACCAAGTTCCATCGCTGAACATGGTATGATGCCGCTCATTATCTGTCCAGGCCTCTCGGTTCTGGCACCAGTCCAAACGCAGCCGTCTCTGTGCTGGTGTTAACGGCAGCCTAAGCATGGGACGGTGAACCTGTAGTCCGGCTAATGCCAGTCGTCGAGACACAGTGTGAGATGGCCCAGGGTGTTTTACAGAGTCCAATACCTGTGTCCAGATGACAGGCGCAGATGTCATGTGGTTCTGTAATCCCTGGCGCACAATATGATGTTCTTCCCTTGGTGTGGTCTGTCTTGGAACCTTCACGACGTGTGTGGGTGCCCTCACGTGCCCATTGGTTCCAACGTCGGGTGACAGTGACATCTGCATGCCCCACATGCCAGGCAATTGTACGATATGACCACCTGGTCTCATGCAAACCCACAATGTGACCCCTATCAAACTCCGTCAAGTGCTGGTAATGCTGTCTAATGCATCTCGGAGGCATCCTCTGTGTCTGGTGACTAGAGGTTCCAGCGACTTGCAAATCGTATCATTTATATAGCCATCACTGGTCTGTGCATGTACTAAATTACATCCAAATCGGACCATTATTTCTGGGTGCTTAACTTTCTTCTTTCACCGAGTGTACATTGAAAAATCCCATTCATTTGTCAAGCATTGCATATATGCTGTGTTCAGCTTCTGGTCATCTTTCGTTGTGCAAACAGACCCGATATCCCCCAGTGCCCTTAATACTGCCGTTACAGCTGGTTCAGTAATTTAGCATCTGTAGCTTAATCGTTGCTACTCCTTTATTCATCAAAAACCTTCCGGAAGCGATGGTGAGGTAAGATTTAAAACATACCCTTGAAGAGTTCTGAGTATCAAAGCGCTAAATATCTTTCAGAGATTAAAATAGGCGCTTTTGCCCCTGGCAAGGGCTCCATGGCTACGCCTTTGCGTTCTTTTGGTAACGGTGTTGCTTAACAGGCACTTATCTATGAAAATCAGGAAATGAATAAGCTAAAAAGAATTTGTTTCGGCAATAATGTATCACTGCTTTATAACCATAATGTCCAGTATCGTGTTTACAGCTGTTGTGATTTTCTAAATCAACACTAAATGTTGTGAAGTTGCGAAGAGAAAGTATGATAAACTAGAAATACTTTTACTGCTCAGTCATACCTACAAGGTTACCAACTTTGGTCAGCTGGCTGGAGTGAGATTTTCAATTCGAGAGAAGTTTGTAACAGTATTATTACTTTATAAATGTAATGTCTGTAGGGTTTGCAAACTACCCCAATGCCTATGATGTAGCTAATCTTCGGAGTTATAATGGAATAGTATAGATTTGCCTTAAGATCTCTTGCGTGGGTGTGACAATCTGAAAGTGTGTCACGCCAGATGTGTGAGAGTTGACGACTCTGTATGTAGTCTGAGTGAAATAGCCATGATGCTCTGTAATCTCAGCTATGTTTGGTGATGGTTATCCAGAGCAGAGGCTGTACTGAACTCAAATTGAGGTGGGCATATCTTGATTCGTTGTGACGGCGGGCTTGGTTCAATGCACAGACTGTCTGGGTGTCAAGACGATTAGTGAACCATCTTACACAATGTTTCTGCAGCACGGACAAAATTTTATCTGTACTGAGTAAAGCTGTAAGGATCACTGCTCTTGCTCTAATTCTGTGGATCAAGACATTTTGGTTTGATGGCCAACCTTGTGTG